GGGGGTGGGGGCGAATGTATAGAGAACAAGGAGAGCAAACGATAATATGTATAGATGAACATATACTCATAATAGATAAAAGGAGGTAACTTAATAAAGAAGAAAACATAAAAAAGAATCAAAAAAACGCAGAAAGCTTGATCAGACGAAAAAAAAGAAAGAAAAGGGGGGGGGGGGGAAAAGAAAAGAAAGAAAAAAAAGGGTAAAGGATGATGGGGAGCCTAAAGAGACACCGGAAGGCCTAAAAGACCGGATTGGAACACTCGGTGGAGTGTAGCGCAATGTCAAAGGGCTGTATGATAATTGGCAACCGTGAGTGGAGGTTCGTTGAGGGGTACGGTGCCAGCTGCGTCACCGATTTGATGGTAAGCTTACACGAGTGGCTAAACAAATGCGTGAGACAGATTATTCGGTTTGTGCATGTATTGCGTGCGCATCTGTGATGAGGAGCAATTGCGAGGTACCGCGGTAACCGATAGGGCGAGTGCAAAGCCTGAAAGATCTACTTTGCTCGAGTCTGTCTGACGCAGTTGCCATTGGATCGTCGAGTTGGTAAGCTGAACCTCAAATTTACTTGTGATGCAGCCGGCTAGCAAGTTGGGTGGATGTCATAAATGTCGTCGGTATGTAGCATGGTAGTTCTATTCGGACTCATAAGGAATCCACATATGAACCAAAGGACTATGCGCAACCGAGAGGTGTCAGCCTGCGAAAAGAGCTGAGCTTGTTCGGTACTGGTTGAACACTGTCGCGCGGGCCGATGTAACTGTACGGTAGCCGACTACAATGGCTGGATTAACAATAGTCGGTTTTGTGCATGTATTCGTCATAGGGATCCAATGCGAGGTAACCGAGTGCGGCGACCTGAGTGTGAGTGTGTTCGGTACTGATCGATGAACTCTACTGTAACTGGCTACGATGGCTGGATTGACAATGTTCGGTTGTGCATGTATTCGTCATAAGGATCCAATGCAAGGTACCGGTAACAGAGTGTAGCCAGTAAGCGGAACCTGAGTGTGTTCCGTATTGTTGCCACTGTCACGGATCGATGTAACTCTCTGCCTACGGTACCGTAGCTGGCTATACAATGGCTGGATTGCATCTATTCGTCATATGGATCCAAGTAGCGAGCAAACTGAGGAAATAGGAGACCAACGCTGAAAAAAAGCCGAATTTCCTATTTCCTATTCCGGTGAAGCCAAAGTATAAGGATAGAGATAGTCATAAGCCAACAAGACTGAACATTGATGGTTCAATACAAGTTAGGGGTAGGAATAAATCATTAATATTTAAGGTTAGTGCAATCAGCACAACAGCACAATAAGCCAGCAGGAGTTGTAAAGGTTAGAGTTACAATAAGGGAATGGCAGCTGGTAAATTATAGAGTAGCGGGCGGCAACACACGACTACGTCGGGTGTTGTCGCCAGGGCTAGCTTAATTAAAATAAAGAAGGTTGCAATGAGGGAATGAATGATACCGGGCGGCAACACACGACGTAGTCGGGTGTTGTCGCCAGGGCTAGCTTGAAAGATGGGTGCAATCCGAACATAATCCTCCTTCTTCTATCTGTCTTTCTGCCGAGGTATCGCAGCTCCCGCTGACTTAATTCGTTATCCGCGATTTCTTTTCGAAGTCAAGTGCGAGGACTATTGGCTAGCCAGCTAGCTAGCTAGTAGTAGAATATGGCTTTTCACCACGAGAACACGAGTGCACTTCGCTATAAAATAGTTTGCTATCAGCGCTGAAACCATGATGGAGGCCCTCCGCAACAACAAGGAGACATTGGCTGTAGTGGCGGTAGGAGCTGTGGTGGTTAGCTCTGCAGCCCTGCTTGGGCTGGTCCTTTCTAAGCGTAACCAACGGGCAACTCGAAGAGCAACTCTTCAGTGCCACTGTGGCAAAGTCAAGGCAGAAATCCATCAACCAGCTGCCAACTACAAGTACGCTGAAACTCAGAATATCCAATGTGGCTGCAACGATTGCATGGGTTATTGCAAGGCTGTAAGCTGAAAAAGTACCATTCGTGGTCGTGTGATCTGCATCTGTTTTTGTTTGCCGGACTCGACTCATTTATTTTTTATGGATCCCCTTTTCGTGGCACAGGTTCTGAAGGAGGGATCAACAGAGGATGCTTTTCAAGAGTCATTCTTCAACCCAGGAGTTCCCACCATTTTGTTCTATTCGAGTGAGATCAAATTAGTCTCAGGCAAAGAGCTGTTGGCACATATGAAGATTTCTCCCAAGACGGAAAATCGCCGTGTCTTTACCACCTGTTGTGGAACACCTCTCAGTATCAGCCCGGATGGTTCTCCTTTGAATTTGGTGTACTGTCCCACCATATCCCCCTTGACTGATTGCGGGGAGAAGGAAGTCCCATTTCCCAGAGAAGTACTGGATAAACCCACTCTGTGCTTTCATGGCAGAAAATTCCTAGAAGACCCAGCTTCGCAAGTCAAGGCCAAGCAGCCACAAATGACAGTGATTGCAGAACACAATGCTCCCAAGTTCGTTCTTGGAATGATTGGTCGGTTACTGCTACTGGTGGGACTAGGAGCCAAAGGACCCGGGGAAGGATTTCCCGTGGAAGAAGGCAAAACTGTGGGAATTGGTTACGAGGCCATCACCAAGTCCATGAGAAAGTAAATAATTGTGCATTCGAATGTAGAGATGTGTACACATCAAAACCATTGCTGTTTAATTATTAGTCCCTGGAATTCTCGTAGGTCACTCCCTCGTATAGGCGCAAAATAGCATGTTGGGAGGTATCACCGTTCCATCTGATAAATTAGCCTGGCCAGCCAGCATGCTGTCCGCAACTACCATTCATACAGGTAGTTCATTCCACGTCATCCCCGCCTCCTCATCCCAACAACTGCTGCTTCCAGCAAACATCGTAAGCAAAGGAGTACAAACCACTAGGTTGGTGATGCTTTCATTCAATTGGTCTTCCTTTCTCTCACGTAGCTCTTCTGCAACCTGCAATATGCTCTTCTCGTCGTGTATTGTCAACTTGATTTCATCCGTACCAGAGACTCCACAATGCTGTCGGAGAGCCGAGACTGCGGATGCAACACGTTTTCGGAGCGTTTCTCCCACATGACACCAAAACGCCGACGGCGGGAGGCCGCGGCCTGCTTTGGCCACGATTTTCGGATCATTTCTCAGCTTGGATTTGAGAGGTTCTGGAATGCATTGGATAGCGCCCAGATTACGTTTGGCGGCTGTCCTTGCAATTTCGGGATGTGCATCGACCACCTCTTTTGCCACAAACTGAATGGCCGCACCCGTATGCCGCACGGCTGCCTCGGCAATCTCTCGGTCTCGTCTCCACATGTCACCCGCATGTTTGAGTGCCATTCCACTCTTGTTCACAACTTGCAACACCATCTCTTTTGATTTCAAGTCTGCCGCGGCATATTCCAGGGAACTGGCATCCTGTGAAATGGCCATTCGAACAACATCTCGATCGTTTCGAAAGAAAGAAGGAAGGAATTTGAGAACCTTGGGAT